CCTTTTGAAACAGCTCTCTTTTACTTGTCACTGCTGATGTTACTGTCTGGTCTCATTAAATTGTTTATACAGGCCCTCATTTAAACCAGCTTTAAATCTGAACTTGGCCAACCTTTTTAAATATTCCAAATAAGTAAATAAGAGTTTTAATCACCTGGTTATTCCCTGGAGTCCTAAAGCGCTTCTTGGCTGGTTGAAAATCATTGTCAGTTGGGCTTCCAGACTTAATATCTTTACCAGGAAGTGACTCACTTTGCTCTGAGAGAGAAGTTTAGACATAAAGTTGCTGTAAAATTAAATCTATCTATACCATAGATACCTTGGATTTCATTTAAACTCCTTTCACAATTTAAATGATATTTTAAGCAGAGTATAATGCATTGTCAAAATTCTGCATGTCACACTGGATTTGTAAAAAATAAAAACCAATAAAAACAAACCTGGCATCTTCTTCAGAGTGGCTGCTGCTTCTGTTTTCAGTGGTGTTTCAGGAGAAATCTTTACATGAAGACTGGAATTATTTTGCTGGAAATAATCACTTTTGATAATGTTTGCTGGATCTAAAGAACCAAAAATACATTAACAAATAAATGCTAGAAATATATAATATATGATAAGATATTTTTCCATGAAAGTTGGTCCATGCTTGGTCTGACATTTCTAACATTAATATTTTGATGGCAAGCTTTATGCTATTCAAATGAAGCATCTTTATGCATATTAAGAAAAAAATTGACAAAAGTTTAAAACAGAAAACATATCTATCCTTTTAGATTTTCTCCAAATTTTAATTTTTTAAATTGCTCTTTACATTCCTTCATCTCACCTCTATGTTGTCAAAGTTATACGAACCTTTCCACATGTCTAACCTTGCTCTCGGTATAAATTTTCCGAGGAAAATATCAGTGAGAAGAAAACCTCTTGAAAATGAATAGCCAGAGGTATAAACACACTCTTTTCTTAAAGAATTCTCTAGTAAACAATCTTAAATTTTTTTCTATTTTTAGCCCAATTGATTTCTTCAATCTGTTTTTAAATACTGTATCTCCATGGCTGTGGTCTAACAGCACCCAGTGGCCCCTGGTGCCTTACTTTTGCTCATGGGCGACTCAGGAATTTTAGTTTTTTCATAAATAGCATATGCTGGGCACCCTGGATTTCACAGTTTCAGAGCTCTGGGCTCCCTTCAACTTTTCTTAGAGCCCAACCTTGATCTCCCCTAACAAGTGCCCAAGCGCTTATTTAAATGGGGGACACTTATTGGTGGGAGGGTGCTAAATTGAGGGGGGCACTGAGTATTCTCCTGCACTGATTCTGCTACTGATTCCAAGGGAGGAGCTAAGTGAAAATCATGGCCTTGAGGGTGGGTGCTTATTTGGAGGAAGGCACTTATTAGAACATGGGTGCTCATTTGAAGAAATACAGTATCCTCTGAGGTAAAATTTTATAAAGGGAGGGTACACACATACCTAAGCCAGTGTATAAGTCAGGGAGTAACCAAAGCTTGGAAATCATACTTTGTCTTTCAGTTTGTCTCATTTCACTAAAAATTGTTCACTGAATTAACAGGGGAATTACAGACTACATTGTCTATCACTGTACCTGTTGGAAGCTGCTTCTGTTCATCACTGCAAGTCTTAATACAGCATTCATCATTCCCTATTTCTGCTGCATAAGAGAAAAGAAAATAAATGTGATTTCCTGTTGGTAAAATAAGCCTCACCACCAAGGATAAATGTATAACTAAGCTTTTTATTCATTCATGGAGTACAAAATGTAGCCAAAACAACATGGTTGTCAGACTATTAGGGTTTTGCAGGATGGAATTCTGCAGTAACAAATCTTAGCTTACCATAATAATTATTAAGCTTCCACATTGTTTGAAAACTAACCTTTCTTCATGCACCTTTTAAATCACAAATCCTCATTTGTATTACCATACTACAATTTTAAAACAAAAGTGTTTCCTTTGAAAAATCAATGCCTTAAATAATAGCCCAACAGACTTGGTACAAAAGATAAAGGACAACATAAATAACCACCAACCTTTCATTTCTTCCTCAATCTTTGCCTTTTTTTCTGGTAATAAAGATAAAAACCAGAATTAGACATCCACTTACAAGACAAAATACAGAAACTTCTACATGTATGTGGTGGCTCAAACAGTTATCTGTTTATTAATGTATTTTACTTGCAAAAATCCCTCAGCTAGATTCACTTTAGTTTTGAGCATTTTACAATGTCATTTCTACAATCAGTAAGAGAATTGCCACTAACAAATGGTTGTACCATATTCTGCAGATTGCCAAGCCAAACAAGAACAAAGCAAGGCTAGACTCTTCCCACTTCCTGTCGGACTTTCAAGCAATGAATTCTGATGCCTTTCAATTCCTTTGATAATCTAAAATATAAAGCAACAGTGAAAAAATTACATGAAGAAGGAATGACAACATCCACTGGCTGTAATCATCCTAACTTACATGTACCCTTTACACCCAAACATCAGTATGCATATTCTCTATACTGTTCTCTATACATTTCCTAGGGTAACGACAGGGAGAATTTTTTTAATAAGCAAGAAGCTCTTCAGTTAGTAATAATATCCTTTATTGTGACCCTACTGTTTGATTCAGGAGCCATACTTTTCAGAAAAACTAGATGCTGGTAAGTATTAGGGGTCAAAGGATATGTCAATTTAAAGTAGTATTATCATTTAGAAACAACCAAATATATGGCAAACAAATTGGTTTGGTTTACAAGTTTCATGCCAATGCAAAGATAAACAAATGCAAAATTTATATGAACTACTTCAATGCAGATACATATACAAGCACAAATACCAACACATGAAAAGCAATTTGATCGCATGTCATAATGCAATCCATGAAACAGCTGTTTTAAAGACAGAGTGGTTTCTACAATAAGACTAATTTCACATGGCAACTGAAGAAAATGAAGCAAGAACAAGTAAAATAAGTGCCTCCCATACATTTTTTGACTCAACTTTCCTTTGAGTGAAAATTAACATGCATTGTTATGCACCAAGACTTTTATAATTTCCAAGCACTTAACATATATAGATTGGCCAGCTAGTTATTCTGCTTGCATGCTATTTACTTGAGTTCATTCTTGCCTCATTGCCATCTAAAGTGATAGATATTTACCAAACTGCGAAGTCACCGATTAAATATCTACCGCCATTCACATCTACTTCGATAAATAATTATCATAATTAATAACAGATTACTATGAATTGTTTCATTATAGATTTAACAAAAACCTATTTATCATTATCACTGTGATTATCCCACTGTTTCATTGCGTCTCCGTGTTGTTACAATGGCAGTGTTTCAAATCTTTTTTTTATGTATTAAAATATTTTTAATCAGGTAAGTCCCCTGGAGGGCTAATCGATTATCGATCTCTTTCGATCTCGCGTGTTTTTGCTAAACACAATAACAGTTACTTCGATGATCAGTAAACCACACACATAATCTCGCATCATTAGCAACTTTCTCAAAAGTCGGAGCCATGTAGCTAGTTGATTCAAACCTCACCATGTTCATCATGGACAGCTGGGTTGGATATGCTTTGCAAGGAAAGGAAACTTTGACGCCATGGATGGTGTACACAAACTGGCCGTCGTCGTTCTCCATTTTAACGTTAATTTCCTCTCAAGAACTGGTTCTAGAATATTTGCGTCATCTTTAAGGTAAATTCTGAGCCATACATCCACTACTTAGGAATGAAAGGCCTCTAAAAACAACAAAACGCCAGCCTACGCTCACGGAAACAGCGAAAAGAAGTTGGAGGGCGCGGGAAATCATTCGAGACGTTAAGAGACTAGTTTCCAGGTCTCCTCGCTTATTGAGCATTCTCCTCGAAGTCCCTCAGGATCTGAGAATTTTCCCCTCCAGGTGCTACACAGTTCCTTGTAAATAACCTGATAAATAACCTGATAAGTTTTGGGTGTTCTAAATAATGTATAAGGAGAAATTACATGTTAATCACTTGTGGGTTAACAACTAACGCGATAAAATTTAAGTTTGATACAGAAATAGCTCTTCAATGCGACAGCAAAAGTACTAGGAAATGAAACAGAAAGTACTGCTTTTCGAAATAAGACTTGAAATACTATTCCTTACATTTAGAATGTAGCATCGGGCCCCTATGGTTCTTGGGGCTTGCGACGATGGAATACTTCATTTTAGAGTTCTGCTGCAGGGTGATACAGCACGAACAAGAAAACCAGGTGAAAAACTCAAGAATGTTTTCCGGAGTCACTCAGTGAGCTCTAGCTCTGATTTTAGAACATCTTATCCACAACTTGCTCACTCACTCATCCTCGTAAACCAGTGGCACCACCCCCTATTACGTAGGAGGCAGTAGCCACAAAAATCGGATACAAATGTCTACGATCAAAAATTCAACACTAGTGTCCAAAGATCCAAGATCAGACACTAGCGTCCAGAAATCCAAGATCGGACACTAGTGTCTAGAATACAAAATCAGCCACTACACTTCAGAATCTAAATTAGGACGCAAGTGTCCAAAATCCAAAATTAGACACCAGTGTTCACTGAATCAAAAATCAACCCCCAGTGCCCAAAATCTAAAATCGGCCACTGTCGTCAAAATTCCAAAATCAGCCACTGGTGTTGATAATTCAAAATCGGTCACTAAGTTCCAAATTCCAAATAGGAACACTGTACATAATCCAAAATCAACCACTAAGGTTTAAAATCCAAATAAGGACACTAGTGTCCAAGTTCCAAAAATCAAAATCCAAAATTGGCCAATGTTTTCTGTAATTTAAAATTGGCCAGTAGTGTCTAAAATCGGCCACTAGGGTCCAAAATCCAAACTTGGCTGTTAGAGCAATCTATTGTAGCCATCTTTTACTTATTTGATAAGCAAAAACCCCAAGACAACTGAAATTTAATATTTGTTATCATTTTAATATGATGTATTTTCTCAATTTACAATTAACATATGTGCAAGCATTACGAGCTATTGACAAAGAGTTAGTTTGACATCTGCATTCATAAATATATATCGAAACACTCTTTTTAAAAAGTTAAATAGAAAAAATGAGACAACAGTCCTCGCAGAAAAATTCTGGCAACTTGTGTCATGTAAGTCACCTGTTGATAAATAAACATTTTCAAAAACAGGTCGTAAAAACATTGAAAATAATGTCTATTTCCTTTCTACATTTCAACTTAAAAACCTAGGCGATCAATGCTCAAAAGGCATTTTCAATGTCAGTATCTGAGCAACTGAGCACCTACCTACCCCTCCCCTGACCCAAAACAATCAACCATAACAAGTTAGAGTTAAAGTTAAGTTAGGGGAGGAGTAGGAGCGCAGTTACTCAGGTACCAACACTGAGCCGCATTTTCGACAGATTTCTCCTCACGAACAAGATACAACGTATTGTCTGACGAACGTAGCGCAATCAGTCGTTCTCTGTCAATTATACTGTAGCCTATGCTGCATAGGAATTTATACCACTCAGACCAAGTGAGAGTCTGGCTTGTTGCATTTTATGGTAACTCTGTGGGAAGGGTCGCTTGTTTCTGCATGTTCCGGGTGTTGGCCGTGGAAGCTTTTAGATGAATACGCGACAACGTATTAAAGATGAACATTCAAATAGGTGTTTATACAAACCTGCTGCGTACGGTTCAGTGCTTCAGTTGTGCACTGATCAAGGATCCACAGTTTCTGGTGGATTAACAGTATGGCTTTGCACATTTGGAGACTGCTCCGCATAAGGTACTTGATAGGATAAGATGAGAAACTTATTTAAGTGTCAGGTCTAATAGCAATTATAAAACCACTGATTGTGGCCAATGACTTGGTAATTTAAACTCCTAAGAATATGAATATTCTATACCCAAACTATGCCTAAAAGTATGCTTAAATTGCAGAGAAGCTTTTTCCCTGATATACACGCTTTTAGAAGGTAGGAATGAGTAAGATGCTCATCAAAGAACCTTCTAGGCGTCTCATGCCTGGGCATTAAGAGGAACCGCAATGTGAACAACAAACCTGTTGGGTATGATGATAACTGTTGAACTTGTATCGGGCCGGGTCCAACGTTGTTATAAGGAAATGGATTTTGCTCCGCAGGCATCTGAAATCCTTGGTCCATGTCAGGCACGTTGTTATTTGGCCATGTGTTTGGCCTAACGTTCAATGGTGAAGGAGTCTGCCAAGTGTTGGAAGAAATGAAGGGCTGTGGCCACGGCATTACTCCTGGCATAGGCCCTATGGGATTGCCAGCATCTGGATTCTGCACGGCAGATACACCGTTTCCTTGGTCCATGTAACACATGTTGGCATTTGGCCAAGCATTGGGCATAATATTCATCGGTGGAGGAGTCGGCCTGTTGTTGGAGAAAAAAGGCCGAGGCCGTGGTTCTACCCCTCGTGAAGGCCCCGCAGGATTATAGGCATGTGCATTCAGTTTTTCTGGGACACATTTTGCTCGGTCCGTGTAACACATGCTTGCATGTGGCCAAGCATTGGGCATAATGTTCATCGATGATGGAATAGGCCAGTTGTTTGGAACAGAAGGCCGCAGCCAAGGTGCAACTCCTGGTGACAGCCCCACGGGATAATTGGGATGAGGGGTATGTTTTGTAGGGGCTCCGTTTCTTTGGTTCGTGTAATATCTATCGTTATTTGGCCACGCGCTGGGCATCATGTTCATCGGCGAGGGAACTGGCCGGTTACTGGAAGCAGAAAACCGCACCCTTCGTCTTTCCAACCTGCAATGTCTCCCTACAAAAAAGAGACCATTTTTCATAATTATTAATAGCAACGTATCACGTACTTTGTGTTAGCTGCATTCCGTCTCCTTGTAGTCTGTTTAATCGTGTTTTAGTGACTTTTTCTCCATGGGAGGAATTGATTTGTGTTGTATTGCTATACCCTCACATTCCGCTGTATTATGCCGCAGTAAACCGCGAATTGTTGCTGCACTGTCCTGTTACAGGGTTCAGGCCTTGTTGGCGCAGTGGTGTTGTGTTTGCACCAGATTTCGCCGTATTTACTGCACTTCGTATTAGCCTAGTGGCTCTGCGAGTTACGTTGAATAAGCAAGTTGTTTGACGCTGCAGTTAGATATCTTTTTGAAATGAAACTAGAGCAACTACATGAAAACAGTTGCATTGTATACGCTTTGCATTTCGTTGAGTTAAGGTACAATGAAATATAGTTGCACCCCTCCCTTCTGAGTAGATAATTTATCTTTGCATTCCTCTACACAGCGTTGCACTGGACAGTTGTCCATTGCGTTGAATCACCAAGTTTCATTTAATTGGATTTTACTCTAGACTGAAAATTACATTGCATTGAAAGATAAGAAGCCATTTATACAATATGATTCACCAGATTGTCAGTGTGTATGACTTTAAGGTGCAGCGATAAGTCTTTGCTCTGTACTTACCTGGTGGGATGGGAGGGAACCTTGGTGGGAGATGGTTTGGCAGGGGATGGCTCCACGGAGGTGCCTCCACCCCAAGCATTTGAGGAGGACCGCATGACCGCATCCGCCTCCGCCCTTGGCTTGGTGGATCGAATTTAACCATTTGAGATTTACGTTTGGGTTGCACTTCTTTCCTTGGACAAATAGTCTGTAGGGAAATTATGCAACAAGAAGCTCGTTAGGATGTTATCCCTGATCGATGGAGGAATTCGTTTTCTTTTGTTAGATAAAGAAATGATTTGCAAGGAAAACAAAGCTCATTGAAAACGAATCACACCATCTACTGAAAGTGAAATTGCAGACCTGAGATGATGGACGAAATTCTCTTGCTAGAGGGTTCAGCTTGTTCACGTTGACGCCACTGTGAAAGCAAACAAAACGATGCGTATGTTTTTAAAAGGAAGAACTATTTTCGACGCAGTTCTCCGCTATAACTTCCCTTTTCATCGTAAAGCGCTATCAATGTCTATCATCTTGGTTAATTGTTAAGAAAATAATCGGATTAACGCTTATTTCTCACCAAACATTCGAATGTTCTACTCCTTGAAGATAAAAACCTGATATTCTCCAGATATCCAGCATAATCAATGAAAATTTCGACCATGACATCTCTTACCTTTCACCACTGGTATGCGTAGTACATTCACTGTGGCTGGCTGGCTCAGACGCATTTTGGGAAACACTACAGTTCTGAGTAAAAAGTTGTAAAAACATTATTACGCGGTTCTGATCAACAAAAACGAGCCTACATTGTTGTTCTTCCGTTCTTCTGTCAAGTCTGACAGATTACGTGGTTTACTAAATTTTGCCAAGCAAACATTATCGTAAACATTGCAGGTGCAATCCACTGAATGAGCTAATGCTTTCTAGGTGGATAGTTCTCCCAATGCCGACAATATATCTATTCACATGTACCTAAAAACTGAATAGGGATTTAATCTACCTTTCCCGAAAGTAAATAAATATAGAGCACATAAACATACCTGTCTGCTTTGACTAATATCCTCACACTCCTGGGAGTTGCAGGAGACACCAACGTCTTTCTCTTCCTCAGAATACTCCTCTTGTTCTGCATCCATTCCCTAAAAACCAAAAGGAAGAAGTTAATCTACCTTCTCTGAAAAGTACAAAAGTAGAAAACAAAGACATACCATTGTCTTTTGTCCAATATCCTGGCACTCCTCGGAGTTGCAGGAAACGCCAACATTGATCTCTTCCTCGGAATACTCCTCTTCTTCTGCATCCATTTCCTAAAAACCAAAAGGAAGGAGTTAACCTCACTAACTTTTCTGTAGAGTAAAAAAGTAGAAAACAAAGACATACCATTGTTTTTTGTGCAATATCCTGGCACTCCTCGGAGTTGCAGGAGACCCCAACGTCTTTCTCTTCCTCGAAATACTCCTCTTGTTCTGCATCCATTTCCTAAAAACCAAAAAGGAGTTAATCTGGCTACCTTTCCTGGAGAGAAGAAAAGAAGAAAACAAAGACAAACCATTGTTTTTTGACCAATATCATGGCACTCCTCGGAGTTGCAGGAAACGTCAATGTTTTTCTCTTCCTCGGAATACTCCTCTTGTTCTGCATCCATTCCCTAAAAACCAAAAGGACGGAGTTAATCTACCTTTTTTGAAGAGCAGAAAAGCAGAAAAAAAAGACATACCATTGTTTTTTGTCCAATATCATGGCACTCCTCGGAGTTGCAGGATATGCCAACGTTCTTCTCTTCCTCGGAATACTCCTTTTGTTCTGTTGGAGGAGTCGGCCTGTTGTTGGAGAAAAAAGGCCGCGGTCGTGGTTCTACACCTCGTGAAGGCCCCACAGGATTATAGGCATGTGGATTCAGTTTTGCAGGGACACCGTTTGCTCGGTCCGTGTAACACATGTTTGCATTTGGCCAAGCATTGGGCATAATATTCATCGATGATGGAGTAGGCCAGTTGTTTGGAACAGAAGGCCGCAGCCAAGGTGCAACTCCTGGTGACAGCCCCACGGGATCATTGGGATGAGGGGTATGTTTTGTAGGGGCTCCGTTTCTTTGGTTCGTGTAATATCTATCGCTATTTGGCCAGGCGCTGGGCATCATGTTCATCGGCGAGGGAACTGGCCGGTTACTGGAAGCAGAAAACCGCACCCTTCGTCTTTCCAACCTGCAATGTCTCCCTACAAAAAAGAGACCATTTTTCATAATTATTAATAGCAACGTATCACGTACTTTGTGTTAGCTGCATTCCGTCTCCTTGTAGTCTGTTTAATCGTGTTTTAGTGACTTTTTCTCCATGAGAGGAATTGATTTGTGTTGTATTGCTATACCCTCACATTCCGCTGTATTATTCCGCAGTAAACCGCGAATTGTTGCTGCACTGTCCTGTTACAGGGTTCAGGCCTTGTTGGCGCAGTGGTGTTGTGTTTGCACCAGATTTCGCCGTATTTACTGCACTTCGTATTAGCCTAGTGGCTCTGCGAGTTACGTTGAATAAGCAAGTTGTTTGACGCTGCAGTTAGATATCTTTTTGAAATGAAACTAGAGCAGCTACATGAAAACAGTTGCATTGTATACGCTTTGCATTTCGTTGAGTTAAGGTACAATTAAATATAATTGCACCCCTCCCTTCTGAGTAGATAATTTATCTTTGCATTCCTCTACACAGCGTTGCACTGGACAGTTGTCCATTGCGTTGAATCACCAAGTTCCATTTAATTGGATTTTACTCTAGACTGAAAATTACATTGCATTGAAAGATAAGAAGCCATTTATACAATATGATTCACCAGATTGTCAGTGTGTATGACTTTAAGGTGCAGCGATAAGTCTTTGCTCTGTACTTACCTGGTGGGATGGGAGGGAACCTTGGTGGGAGATGGTTTGGCAGGGGATGGCTCCACGGAGGTGCCTCCACCCCAAGCATTTGAGGAGGACCGCATGACCGCATCCGCCTCCGCCCTTGGCTTGGTGGATCGAATTTAACCATTTGAGATTTACGTTTGGGTTGCACTTCTTTCCTTGGACAAATAGTCTGTAGAGAAATTATACAACAAGAAGCTCGTTAGGATGTTATCCCTGATCGATGGAGGAATTCGTTTTCTTTTGTTAGATAAAGAAATGATTTGCAAGGAAAACAAAGCTCATTAAAAACGAATCACACCATCTACTGAAAGTGAAATTGCAGACCTGAGATGATGGACGAAATTCTCTTGCTAGAGGGTTCAGCTTGCTCACGTTGACGCCACTGTGAAAGTAAACAAAACTATGCGTATGTTTTTAAAAGAAAGAACTATTTTCGACGCAGTTCTCCCCTATAACTTCACTTTTCATCGTAAAGCGCTATCAATGTCTATCATCTTGGTTAATTATTAAGAAAATAATCGAATTAACGCTTATTTCTCACCAAACATTCGAATGTTCTACTCGTTGAAGATGAAAACCTGATATTCTCCAGATATCCAGCATCATCAATGAAAATTTCGACCATGACATCTCTTACCTTTCACCATTGGTATGCGTAGTACATTCACTGTGGCTGGCTGGCTCAGACGCATTTTGGGAAACACCACAGTTCTGTGTCAAAAGTTGTAAAAACATTATTACGCGGTTCTGATCAACAAAAACGAGCCTACATTGTTGTTCTTCCCTTCTTTTGTCAAGTCCGACAGATTACGTGGTTTACTAAATTTTGCCAAGCAAACATTATCGTAAACATTGCAGGTGCAATCCACTGAATGAGCTAATGCTTTCTAGGTGGATTGGTCTTCCAATGCCGACAATATATCTATTCACATGTACCTAAAAACTGACTAGAGGCTTAATCTACCTTTCCTGAAAAGTAAATAAATATAGAGCACATAAACGTACCTGTATGCTTTGACCAATATCTTCACACTCCTGGGAGTTGCTGGAAACGCCAACGTTTTTCTCTTGTTCAGAGTACTCCTCTTGTTCTGCCTCCATTTCCTAAAAACCAAAAGGAAGGAGTTAATCTACCTTTTCTGAAGAGTTAAAAAGTAGAAAACAAAGACATACCATTGTTTTTTGTCCAATATCCTGGCACTCCTCGGAGTTGCAGGAAACGCCAATGTTTTTCTCTTCCTCGGAATACTCCTCTTGTTCTGCATCCATTCCCTAAAAACCAAAAGGAAAGAGTTATTAATCTACCTTTTCTGAAGAGTAAAAGAGTAGAAAACAAAGACATACCATTGTTTTTTGTCCAATATCCTGGCACTCCTCGGAGTTGCAAGAAACGCCAACGTTTTTCTCTTCCTCGGAATACTCCGCTTGTTCTGCATCCATTCCCTAAAAACCAAAAGGAAGAAGTTATTAATCTACCTTTTCTGAAGAGTAAAAAGTTAGAAAACAAAGACATACTATTGTCTTTTGTCCAATATCCTGGCACTCCTCGGAGTTGCAAGAAACGCCAATGTTCTTCTCTTCCTCGGAATACTCCTCTTGTTCTGCATCCATTCCCTAAAAACCAAAAGGAAGGAGTTAACCTCGCTACCTTTTCTGTAGAGTAAAAGAGTAGAAAACAAAGACATACCATTGTTTTTTGTCCAATATCCTGGCACTCCTCGGAGTTGCAGGAAACGCCAACATTTTTCTCTTCCTCGGAATACTCCTCTTGTTCTGCATCCATTTCCTAAAAACCAAAAATTAGTTAACCTGGCTACCTTTCCTGGAGAGAAGAAAAGAAGAAAACAAAGACATACCATTGTCTTTTGTCCAATATCCTGGCACTCCTCGGAGTTGCAGGAAACGTCAACGTTTTTCTCTTCCTCGGAATACTCCTCTTGTTCTGCATCCATTCCCTAAAAACCAAAAGGAAGGAGTTAATCTTCCTTTTTTGAAGACCTGGCTACCTTTCCTGAAGAGTTGAAAAGAAGAAAACAAAGACATACCATTGTTTTTTGTTCAATATCCTGGCACTCCTCGGAGTTGCAGGAAACGCCAACGTTTTTCTCTTCCTCGGAATACTCCTCTTGTTCTGCATCCATTCCCTAAAAACCAAAAGGAAGGAGTTAACCTCGCTACCTTTTCTGAAGAGTAAAAAAGTAGAAAACAAAGACATACCGTTGTTTTTTGTTCAATATCCTGGCACTCCTCGGAGTTGCAGGAGACCCCAACGTCTTTCTCCTCCTCGGAATACTCCTCTTGTTCTGCATCCATTTTCTAAAAACCAAAAGAAGTTAATCTGGCTACCTTTCCTGGAGAGAAGAAAAGTAGAAAACAAAGACATACCATTGTTTTTTTACCAATATCCTGGCACTCCTCGGAGTTGCAGGAAACGCCAACGTCTTTCTCGTCCTCGGAATACTCCTCTTGTTCTGCATCCATTCCCTAAAAACCAAAAGGAAGGAGTTAATCTACCTTTTCTGAAGAGAAGAAAAGTAGAAAAAAAGACGTACCATTGTTTTTTGTCCAATATCCTCGCACTCCTCAGAGTTACAGGAAATGCTTATGTTCTTTTGTTGTTCAAAGTACTCCGTTTGTTTTATATCTGTTTCTTTAAAACCAAACAGAGACTTAATCTACCTTTCTTGAAAAGTAGAAGAGAGTTTCACACAACCATACCATTTTACTTTGACCAGTATTCTCGTATTCCTCAGTATTGCAGGAAGTCTCAACGTCCTTTTCTTCATCAGCGTGCTCGGTAGCCAACGGAGCACTGTGATGAAAAGGAAGGACGTTGAGGATTCTACAT